TATGACGATCTATCTATCCTTTGTTAACGTACCAAGAACTTAAATACTTGATCGTTAGATCTTGAGACCGAAAAGTAATCGCCTTCTAAAGGTGTTATCGGGTCGGATCTGCCCAGATCCTAAATCTTAAGATTTTGGACAAAAAAAATATAGATCCATATCGGATCTACAAACGCAATCGGGTATAGATCGGCAATATACATGACATTTTAACGAGATAGAAACGGTTAGGACCAGTTAGCTTGAGCCCAACCCAGAAATTGGTGGCTTACCGTTTCCTTTCCGGCCCATCTATCAAAAGATCTTCCGATCCGAATGAGATCATTTGATCGCCGATCACCATCACATCACATAATATGGGTGGAACTATGAATGAGATCCATTTGCCGACATCCAACATCCAACAGAAACAACTGCTACAACAATAATTAAGAGTATATTTTATTGAATTCCATGTGGTTGCCGTAATACGTCCGCATCAGTTTACATTACATAATGGTTGACGTCGACCCCCCGATCACATCCCATCACGCAAATAAGACCATAAATCATGGCAGCTGATGTCCACACGATTGGGTAGCCCAAAATTTTCTTCATCCAACGAATGACCGAGTCAAGTTGGGAGTATATTGATTGGAAATAAAAATAAGTCTTAATTTTACGAGAGTATTGTACTCCTTAATTAGTCTCACATAAAAAATGGATAAGATAAATATTGACTTATAAAGATCTGATGAGTATATTATTATCAACTTCAACTTAAATATTTTGATCAGTAATTTAGACGATCTGTGATCCTACATAAAATTATTATATTTTTAAGCAATTCCTCGATTAAATATTTTGAGCAGAGAATCTCGTGGTTTAATGGTTAAAATTGATAAGGCTGATGCGGAGGAAAGAATCTGTTACCTAAATGATTAGGTCACTTCAATTAATATTCTGATGCTACCTTTGCAAGGATTTTGATTGGGAACCAAACCTTGTACTCCATCACAGGCTAATGGCGATAGCATTTTTTGAAGCTATCAACATTATTTTTAGATATATATATATATATATATATATATATATATATATATATATATTCAAAATTTATTGTAGAATAGAATGAATGAATGCTCCATGAATTTAATGACAAATTCTTAAATTTATCTTAAACTTAATTAATAGCCAACGAAATTCATGAATTTTTATTTTTATTTTTTTAAATTTAATTAACCATTTACTTTGGGTGATTTTTCTTAGAAGACCCCTTCTGTTTTTTTAGACTTTTCTAGTACGATGATATTTATATTTAGAATTTTTATTTTCACAAGGCCATACAGCTTAGGCCTCACTTTGTCCGTCCGCCGTCTCGTTCGTTTCTCTCACATTTAATATTAATCGTTTTGACTTTGTTATTATTTGCATCCTTATTTTTTTATTATTAATTATACTTTTAATTAATTCTTGAACTATTTATCTTGTGAAAACGAACAACTTCAAATGACTGATGATGAGAACCTAAGAAGGAGATGATGATCGTAAAAATCACCATCATCGTAACGAAAAGAAGAAACAAAGTTGGACGAAAAATATCTATGATATTAGAAAAAAATAAAATAAAATTCTAAAAATGAAGGTATTATTTTTAAAAAAATAAAAAATAAAAAGAAAATCTCTCGTTTACTTTTTCAAATTCATCTAAAATTTAATCTAATACTTTGTTTTTTAATTCCTGTAGATATTAAATTCGATTTTGAATAAAACAAAAGACACGACTGTCATATTTTTACGACTATTCAACGGTATCGACGACACGGAAAGTGTGACCGTCGCTTGTAATGATATCCACCGGTCCCGTCTCCTCCTCTTTACTCCCTTCCATTTCCTATCTACGCCACCGCCTCCTGGTCGGGTCCCGCTTGCCACCGATCCACCTCCCCGTCGCCAGTAGCTGGGGAAGCAATAAATTAGATGTTCGAATCTTGCACGCGCAGCAGCTGCCCCTTCTTATTGCATTTGGCGTAGTAAAGAAAGAGTGGGGTAGTCGTCGATCGACGTCGACGGTGGCAGAAAAGGAGATGGAAGCCTCCAACAGAATCCAAAAGCAACGTCGATCCGAAGTTATCCACGAAAGGTGGAAAAATAGGCGTTGACGAAGAGCAACCGAGAGCCAAGTAAAAAAGAGGAAGAAGGAAAAGTAGCCAACTCGATCTCACGCACCCGTTTGACGCGGTTTCCCAAATCCAAAGGTCTCTCCTTTTTCTACTCCCTCCCTCCTATCCCCTTCTTCTTCTTCTTCTTCTTCTTCTTGTATCTAATTCTCCGTTGAAGACCACGGTGAGAGGTTGGGCGGCCGGAGGATGGAGACCGCGGAGGGGCAGATCAGGGGAATCCTCACCCATGGCGGCCGCTACGTGCGGTACAACGTGTACGGCAACCTGTTCGAGGTCACCGCCAAGTACGTCCCGCCCCTGCGTCCCCTCGGCCGAGGGGCTTACGGCATCGTCTGGTGAGAGAATTCCCCGTCTATGTGCTTTGTGTGTAAAGTTCGAGTGTATGTTTGCTTGATCGGCTTAGATGCTGGTGAGCCGTCTTTTGATTCTAGTCAACGACCTTTTTGGGTGTTTTCTTTTCCTTGTGTCTCCAATGTTGTTTTATGAATTCTAGTAGTTCAAGAGAAACGATTATTTTGTGGGATTATTGGTCCTTAAGAGTGATAGAGGTGATGGTCGATTCTTAAAATTTTAGGGTTATTGCTGGTTCGGAAAGATCTGCAATTGATGACACATCTACACTGATTTTGGGAAGTTAACATGTCCAATTGGTGACCATTGGTTCCGTTCTCACTTTGGAAGTCGAATTTGAAGGAGGATATTAATTGACGCTTGATCTTCTTGAAGAGATACAAAAGAGTAATTTGAAGGCTCAATGAATACAAAAGAGAATTTGGAACCAGAACTGGAGATATTTTAGCAGATTCACTGATAAAGTTTATGTTAACTTGAAGGCTCAATGAGTGCTTTATTTTTAGTTCTCGTTGTTTCTTCGACGGATTTTGACTGGTTTCTTTAAAACTCGAGCATTGGTAATTCAGCTTATCAGTAGCCAAACCTGCAGTTGCCTTTCACTGTTCAAATTTCTTTTCGGTAATTACTTTTCATGAACTTGAGACTTAAATCTAGTTTCTTTTGGTTCTGCATTTCAGTGCTGCTGTGAACTCGCAAACTCGTGAAGAGGTAGCTATTAAGAAGATTGGTAATGCATTTGATAATCGTATCGATGGCAAGAGAACTTTGAGGGAAATAAAGCTTCTGTCCCACATGGACCATGAAAACGTAAGGCATTTTTACTATTTTAAGATGTTCATATATGTAAATGATGTTTAAATTCCACATAAAAACCTGGTAATGTGCTTCGAATTTAGAATTAAGATAAGTTATATATCTCATGCTTCTATGTTTCCATCAATATTGAGGATCATCAACATAGACCGAAAGCTTCTGTAGGGAACCTGAAGACCGTGCCTAAGTCCATCTTTGCTTCATATTGACCAAGATTTTAAGAATCACGATAGAGGCACTTTGGTGTGTTGCTGGTGCAATATGATAGCATGCTACAGTCAGCATGTCCTGTCATAGTTGAAACTCGTAGAACATGATCATAGTATAAACAAAGCTCATTTAGAGCTCTTCAAGCTAGTCAAGACCTCAACTTTGATCTTGTCATTGTCAATTGACAACATACTGCTTTTACTCATGGTGATATAGATATTTTTGGTGGAATAGCTTTTTCTAGGATTCCATACTTTGTGCATCTTATTTGGGGCACACACTATATCGGCATCAAAAACTTGAATTGTTTACTAAAATTTGACTGATGTGTTATGTGGGTAAAACTGATTTTTAAGAGATAGGTTTATGTTGTCTAGAAAGTTATGATCCGTCAAAGTTTTGATTCACCAGATGGTCTCATATCTAAAAGGGAAGTTGTAGTTGTTTCTGGATAGTTTACTATGAAGTGTAAACTTCTTATTTATACTGCAAACTTGAGTGATGCATAACTTTGGATCGTTATGTTGTCCTTGGTTGATAATAACATGGTTGTTGAGAGAGCCTAGGCTATCCTTTAAAAATGTGACTTGTCCTGCTCCAAAGATATATTTATCAAGTAGTTGGCATATTATTGAGCAATACCTAAGCCTATTGTTATAACAACAACAACAACAACAAAGCCATAAAGTCCCAACTATTGGGGTTAGCCACCTAAGCCTATTGTTACTTCTGAAAAAATGAAAACTATTTAGGCTTGGCAAAAGCTGCCATGAATTAATCTGTCTCTGCTCTAATAAACTTGAAGGGATTGATTATCATATTAAGATTGATTTGTTTAAGGTTGACCCATATAGGTTTGTACAATGGTTGCTGCCTTCTTAATCAAGACACCAGCCCTATGTGTTATCATTTTAATGTTTTGGCCTGACCCTTGGGCGTATCTTTTTTCTGAAATTATTGTTTCTCTAGCAATAAGTTGAACCTCATCATGGGAATTTCTTTTTTTGCTGGTACTCATGTAGAGGCATCATCTGATACACTAGCCTTGTATCTAGTCTCACATCCAAATAGCGTCTGTCCATAACTTGCAGGTCTCACATCAGATTGCAACCTTTAACACTTTCACTTTTTGTTCGACTTCTATAATGTTTCATGTAAGATATATTTTAATGGTGAGACTGCCTTGCATGTTGATCCTTTTACTTAGTTTGTTATTAGATTGGATCTCACAAGTTCTTGCTCCATGACAGGTTATTGGAATCAAGGACATCATACGCCCACCACAGAGGGAAAACTTCAGTGATGTTTACATTGTATATGAGTTAATGGATACTGATCTAAATCAGATAATCCGCTCTAATCAACTATTGACTGACGATCACTGCCAGGTCTGTTTCTGAAACTTGTGGTTTCGTATATTTGTGTATCACTTCTAATGACATGGTTCCATCTCGTGCTTCAAGATTTAGTCATGTTGTTCAGAAAGTTGGATGAGAAACTTTTGGAATTTATAAGCCTCTTGAGCTTCTCTCTCTCTCTCTCATTCTTTTTTCATATTGTTGGTTTTTGGAGACTGGGCCTCGAACCTTCAGATAGAAACTATTGGAAATTTTACGATGCATTTTTTGTTGATTTCGCCTCAACTCAATATAATCTTCTAAAAATTACAGACATAGCACTCTTAGTATTATTATCTGGTATGCAACTTTCTTGAACTTGGTAATAATGAATCTTTTTGTGATTTATATGTTCATGGCCATGGCTCAAAGTCTATAGTCTTGTAATTTCTTATATTTTTAAATTTTGTGAGTTTTAATCTCGATCCGTAGGGTAAATTGATACTAATGAAGCTCACATGCCCCTGGTTCGTAATTGCTGTACTTCGTAAGGAGATGTACCATTTCAGTCTGATTGGTATTCACTTCAGACTAGTATTGAAATCAATGTTTCCTGGCATTCTTTTCTTCTTTCTTTGTGACAATGTCACTTTAGTTGAGAAGTTATGACATAGTTCATTTTCCTGTTTTAGTTTAAATTTAATTTTTTTCTTTCCTACATTATGATTCTCACCTGGCTTCCTTGACTAATATTATCTATCCCTGCAGTACTTCTTATATCAGATACTACGGGGTCTGAAATATGTACACTCAGCAAATGTCTTGCACCGTGATCTTAAACCAAGCAATTTGTTCTTAAATGCAAATTGTGACCTTAAAATAGGAGACTTTGGATTAGCAAGAACAACTTCTGAAACAGATCTGATGACAGAGTATGTTGTCACTCGCTGGTACCGAGCACCTGAGCTGCTCCTTAATTGCTCAGAGTATACTGCTGCAATTGATATTTGGTCGGTAGGGTGCATCCTTGGAGAAATTGTAACCAGGCAACCTTTGTTTCCTGGGAGAGACTATGTTCAGCAGCTGAGGTTAATCACTGAGGTAAGACTTTGAAATTTCTCATGGAGTTCTGTGAGATGATATGCTGATGTTCATCATAACATTACTGTGTACCTTTTAAAAGGTAATAGCCAATCCAATAAATTTGCTGATAGTGCTGTGCTAACATATTTTGATTGCTGTCTTGATTCACAAGTTAAAATCTTTGAAAATTGTTGCCTAGTTATTTGATTGAGGTAGAAAACAGGTGGTTAACAATGTGCTGTAGATTGGAACTTAATGTTCAGGATTGCACTATGTTCTCTTCTGTCACTGTTCCAATGTGTCATTATGCTGAATTGAAACCTCTACCAATGCACCTTTGGTATTAGGCTGAGAATTTCTTGACTATCTTCCTACTTACTGTTTGGTTTTCCTTTTTTCTTAACAACATTTTCAGTGGGAGATCTAATTCATTTTAGATATAGATGTTTTGGTTGATAAGATCATGAGAGTTTTTCAAATTTAAGATGTTAAAGATAATAATGAGTTGGTCAACAACTTCGATGGCAATCTTTTTCCCTTCAGCCCAACTTTCTTTTTCTCTTTGCCTTCTCTTTTAATTGCAGAATGATCCGAGTCCATTTGTATTATTTCTATTTGTAGTTTCCGATGACAAAACAAACAAGAAAATAATAGCTTTGAATTGAAACCTGACATTATTTCATGATTATAAAAGCTGATAGGTTCACCGGATGACTCGAGCCTTGGGTTTCTTCGAAGTGAAAATGCTCGAAAATATGTAAAACAGCTACCAAGATATCCAAGACAGAATTTTGCACTCAGGTTCCCCAATATGTCTCCTGGAGCTCGTGATTTGTTGGACAGAATGCTCGTGTTTGATCCAAGCAAGCGAATAACAGGTAGACTTATATGTTGATGGCTTCTCAATGTTTACTGTCCAGGGTCTCTTCTTGAAATGTAAATTGCTCCTCTTCTTGCAGTTGATGAGGCTCTGCATCACCCTTACTTGGCACCTCTTCACGACATCAATGATGAGCCCGTGTGTGCATCCCCGTTTAGTTTTGATTTTGAGCGACCATCATTCACCGAGGAAAATATCAAAGAGCTCATCTGGAGGGAATCTTTGAGATTCAATCCAGATCCATGATAATATGGTACCTGTATGTTTTACCACAGCATGTCTGTTCTGTCTAGAGAAGTATGAAATTTCTGCCCTTTTATCAAATTGTGTTAGTGTAACTGATAGAACACCACTAGAGCCATTAATGTGCCATAAGTATCATACATTCTCTGCAATTTTCCAGCCAATTCTTCACTCATGACAAATTAAGATCTGAGATACTAGCTCAATAAAATCCTTGTGTATTCTGAAAATATTCTTTAGTTCGCAGAGCATCTAGTTCTGATATCTAAAACATGTTTACACTGTTACATGTTCTTCATTAGCACACTTTTATAAGAGTTCAGATACATTTCCATGAGCGCCTCCGTGTGCTCCATGTTTAATGTGATGGGGGTAAAAGTGATAACTGATACCATTACTGCCTAAAACCTGCTCATTAGAGTACCTGTTTTTGCGTGCGTGCGGCACATATGCAAAGGAGAGCTTTTTGGATTGTTGAAGTGGTATTTTAGCATTTCTTAACATATAGCCATGAAGTTAGTTTAAGTTAACGAGAATACAGGTAAATTTAGGTTTCCATTTGGCAATTATCAAATGCAGTTTTTCTACTCTAATCGTGTGCAGTGTGTATCTCATTTTTTGCACCTGACTTGTTTGTTTTTGTAATGTTGCTGCAGGTTTGATTGTCATGGGGATCAATCATTATTGATGCATCTTTGTAAGTTCCACTGTGTCTAAATTGGTTATGCAACTTGGGGTTAGACATCTGACTACTAGTGCTATGGTATTAGCGTCTGGATGCTCAGGAATCTGATCGCTACTTTCTTCCATATTCCTACGGTCCTGTTGGAAGATCATCTGAGCAAAGGTATCATTTGAGGTCGAATACATTTTGTGACTTGGATTAGCTGAGTGCTATAATGGATTGGATTTGATTGTTATTGATCTATTACTCGTCTGTATACTGCAAGCATGAGATAGATTCCATGTTTACTGATAACAACTATGCTGTAAATTATGTAAATTAACTTGAGTGTACCATTATTTGCATGACATCTACATATGTTTCAACTCTGTGAACAAGGTGCTTATAAAAATAAATTCAAAATACTTGTAAAAAAAGATTCATTAAGCACTTTGTTCAAGGCAAACAATTTAATCTGCCAAGCTTCAGGACATCATAGTTTATGCCATTAAACGGTAAAAAAATATTAATTATTTCATCGATTTGGATGTAGAAAGCATCTCGACTCATGGTTTGGTTCTCTGATAAGAACACTCCTTCAGCCCAACACAATCCACAGGTAGAACATCTTCAGGGAAGGGGCAATGCGTTATCCGATCTGGAGATTCCGGAATCAGCGCACAGGGAGTGGGCGTCACGTGACTCGAAACGCCCTCCACGTCGGTGCAGTTCCATATCGGCTTCTTCGACCTCACCACCTCCGCCGTCACATTGTAGATGCATATTCCGGTGAAGGGCGCGCCGGGAATCCCCTCCAGCTTTGCGGCCATGGTCACGTTCTCGGCCACCACGTTGCTGTAGCTGATATTCTGCACCACCGGGATGGCTTTCGGATCAAATTTGTCGTCCGGGTGCTGCCCGTAGGTGCCCGTCATCCAGAAGACCCACTTCATGGTGTGCAGATTCATTCTTCTCACGAATATGTCCTTCACGTAAGCTCCCCTTCCGATGGCCGTCTTGATCCTGACGCCGGATTCGGAGTGGATGGCCGTGATGTCTTCGGCCCGGACATCTTGGATTCCTCCCGACATCTCGCTTCCCAGGGCGATGACAGCGCTTGTGGGGGAGATGCAGGTGAGCCTTCTGATCACTATGTGTTTGCTTGACATGTTGAATGCAATCCCGTACTCATCCCACCCGCTTTTAATGGCGATGCAGTCATCGCCTGAGACTATGTAGCAGTCCTCAATGCGGACATTGGAGGATGAGTCTGCGAAGAAGAGAGAAACCACCAAAAACAATCAATTGAAACAGCAACATATAATCTACAACCCAACTAAATGTAGGTACGATATCCACCTGGATTGATCCCATCAGTGTTCGGAGAGTTGACTGGTGCAAGAATTGTGATGCCTGAGACGATAACTTGGCTGTACAGTTCATTCATTCACGTTAACACCAGATTGTAACAATAGAATGGAAAGTAAATGAAACCTTCAAGTGTTCTGAAAGTAGATTATTAATATAAACCTGCTGTACACTGGATGGACATTCCACGATGGAGAGTTGACCAATGTAATGTTGGAAATCAGCACTTGTCTGCAGTACATCAATTCAATGAGGTATCCACGAGTGTAATTGAGTTCTTTGTTATTGAACATTTCCCACCAGGTTTCACCTTGTCCATCGACAGTTCCATTATGCCCTAAAAATAACAATAAAACTTGTTAGCATCAGGACATGGTATGTTGCAATCAAATTGTATTCTGTTCCCCACCTATGATGCAAACAAGTGAGATGATATGTGTCTTCTTATTAATCAATGCATCCCAAACATCAGAAACTAAATTAAATGTTACAGTTTCCGACTAGAAATATTTTTTCTATCTAAATTTTAGGGGACCATGGAATGACAACACGACGCAAACTTTATGAATTTAGAAGAAAGTAATATAGTAGAAGCACTGAAAATATGCAGCGTATATACTACCTGTTATGACCACATCGGTTAGGTTATATCCCATGATGAGATTACTGTATCTACCTCCAGCCGTATCTCTTCCTCTGCCGTAGGAGGGCAAAGGGTCAATGATCGGCCACTCATTGATATCCTGCACAAGCATATCACCATAATATGAATTATCTTGGTTGATACAGATTGAACAAAAGAACATGGTTTTAGAATTTCTATTAGCTACCAAGACAAAAAAAAAAAAAAAAAAAGAGTGTCTCAAATTGTGTTAAAAGTAAGTTTAGTTGCTCCCTACGTACATCCATGCAATTCATAAGCATTGCTTTCCAAGTTGCAGTGTGAGAAGCCATAAATTGGGGTTGCAGAATAGAAATTCATAACACAAGGCATACTTTTGGAGTCAGTTTCATTGTTATTAATTTGACTTGTTCTCCCTAGTTTCAAGCATTAATAGAGTTTTCCTGTCTTCAGGAAACCTAATTAGCTACACAAATGTAAAAGGTTTAGTCAAAAAGAAAATGCTGAGAGCTTGGATGATAGTCCTCTTCTAGGACTATTCTTTCCTACAATATATCAAAGAAAATTGTAGCATCAAGAGAGAGTATGTGGTTCTCCAGTTTTGAGAGTCCAAATGAGAATGCTGTGTTAGAAAGTTAGTCAGAAAGGAACATCCACCTAACTTTGAGACTGATGGTCAAGTCTAAACTTAATTCTTATGCCGGTTTCCTGGCATCCTTTCCCACTTGTAAGACTTGGTCTTAAAGTTCTTACACATGGAAAGAATGCCATCCTCCATTGGCAATATCCACCAGTATTAGAATGCCATAGCTGTGAATCTAGTTTTGTTCTATGGTGAGATTGACAAAAAATTGTCAAACTCCTATTCAAGGAGTGAAGAACTGTAACCTAACATTACTTTTCGGAGTAATAGTTCTATACAACTATCAATAACAACGACTAGAATATGCATGAAATCTTGAATGGATCAGATGTGAAATGAACCAAAGAGGAATATATGATGATAAAATACATGAGATTTATTAGCCACAGAGGCCAAATCTAACACTCCAATCAAGTCACCGATGAATCAGCACTTCTTGACTTAGATCTAGAAGACCTTGTGCATCGCTAGGAAAGTATGGCAAAGTCTACAGGAATGATTGAAGTGATGTGTCCCTATTGACTAAGCAAGCTGGAAGGAATCAATGTTTAGAGTAAACCTTCTTCCTTATTGACATTATTTTTTTTAGTTTTATCTTTTATAAATCTTACCTAACCCTTTTCTAAATCCATTTTCTAGTTGTAATCTTCAAGATCTTGGAATTTGGAAGGAAATTTTTATGTGGATTCTGATCCAAAATTATTGATGTTCACTTATAAGGATATTACATACAAGAGTAAAAGAAAAAAAAAGATTACTGTATTTTTATTTTGAGAGATCAAAGTAGAGATACTAAATAGTCAGAACTCTACCATACAAATTATAAATATTTCAGAAATTAATATTATCAAGACAAATTTAGAGTTGTAGTGGCTTAGTTCACTTTTTTTCCCTCATCAGTCCAAAGCGGTGACTGCGCATCGGATTAGGCATCTAAGATCGAGACTTGTGATTTCTCCTTCGAGATGAGATGAAGGAAACGGTGGAGTAGTATTCCATCGCTGTGTGACGTTCTGGTGGGGCTCACCAGTGACGAGACTATTCTTCATCATCACCGTTCATCTGGCAAGAGCTGTCAGATGAACGGACTCGATGAGAAGGGCTACTAGCAATAACCACCACTGAGGATGGAGGCAACGTCGGATGATCGGCAAAATGAACATGTACTCTGAA